TTGTTTGTTTTGTTTTTTTTTTCTTTTCTACTTCTTTTGATTTTCTTTATTCTGATCTCTTAGAAATAATGAGATAGTAGATCCTACTCTGTTACATCTCTCTTCCTCCATAATTTTCAGCATGATTTGTTTCAGGGGTTTTTTTCATTCCTTTTGTTATGTTATTTCCTCTCCTTGTTTGTAGCAATGGTATGTGTGTCTTGTATCATTGTATGTCTCATTGATCACTGATACAGGACATGAATGAAAACTTTATTCTAGTGAGACAAGCTGACAGCATGTGCAGAAGAAATTTTCTTTGGTTTTGCCTGTTTTGTAACTTCAGAAAGGCACAGTTGGCCTCATACGCAGTAAGATTTCAAAGGTTAACATCAGAAAATTAATTAAGTGTTCTTTCATCATATCTTATGTACTAGGTGGAATGGGAGTAAACAGGTCAGTTCCAAAGGGAAATGAGATGCAATATTTTGCTTATGTGAAGTGTAAAGATAGAGGTGATTACATACCAAAATCATCATTTGGCCTTTTGAACCACAGGCCATTAAAATGGATTGGGGAAAAGATTGAATTAGGACAAGGGGAACTCTATTCTGAATTGTTACATCAAAGTATATAATGGAAATCCTTTTATCCTGAATGACTGGCTTTGGTATTTGGTTTGATGGCCCATGGGTGGCCTTTTCTCAGCCATTTCTTAATAAATTTGTACATAACCACCTAAAATCCATCATTGATCTGTTGTTCAGCTGTTCTTGTATATTGCAAGATGGAGAATTTTACCCAAAATAAAACTATAAAATTAGGAGCGGCAAAAGCAGGGTGGATTTTTTTTCAGGTCTGTCATTTGAGCCAAACCCCTGTGCCCACCAATAGAGAATGAGGACAGAAGCCAGAATGTTTATACCAATTGATATTGTCTCTTTAATATTCAGTGTTTTATCTTTTACCTTTCAGTTTCCTTTATAGGTCACTTAATTTTTGTTATTTTTCTTTAGTATGAGCTAAGAACAGAATATTGCTGAATATGCTAAAATAGATGTGTATTGTTTTTTAAGGCTGGCATTTAAGCAGACAAAGAATCATGCTTAATGCTGCTGTGATAATAAATAGTACTATAATTGATTGTTGATAGAAACCCTTAAAATACATTTTTATGGTTGAAATGTACTTTGGGTAAACAGTGTTCAGTTTGCCTATTAAAATAATTCACTATATACCATGCTTTCTTTGAGTATTAAGGAAGTAGGACTTTTCCAACAACAGTAATTGGTTGACACTGCTTGACCTTAATGCAAAGCTGCAGTATTTAATGAACAAACGGAGGGGATAAAGTTTTGATAAATAAGGCAATTTTCATGAAACCTTTAGAAATATGCTTGAAGTCTTTTAGTGTTAGATTGACGGTTTCTCCTTTTGTAAAAAGAATAAGTGAATAATTTAAGGCTATATTTCATGTTTTCAGATCTTCATTCTGTCATATAAATAATAGACTGTGAAATGCAGCAGCTCCTGCATTCACAGATTTAATAGACCTATACAAGTGAGTATCTTACTCAGCTTCTGGCATCTTAAAATGCTCTTTTGTGCATATGTATACCTGAGAAGCAATGCAGAAGTGGAACATTCCTAGACTCTATTCAGTAACAAAATTCCATCCTTTAAGCATGCCACATGTTCTGTTTTTAAATGAATTGTTCTTACTGAAATACTTTCAGTACAGCTTGATGTCAGTTTCAGTATTTTTAGTTTTCAATTCTGGTACGTTATTATGATGGACAGATATCAAAAAAGTAATACGTGGCAATTCAAAATTAAAGCGTAATCTAAAGTTTACTTATGTAAATTGAAAGACATTAGGTTTAGATCCAACATAGGTCTTTGAAACACCATTGAATCTTGATGAGAAGAGAATCAAATGTATTTACTAAAATAGTGAAATATCAAGGTAATTTATATGATTTGCTACATTTATTCTTAGTTATATAATTTCTTTTTGAGGGAAACAGTATTGGGGGAAGAAGAACAGAGAATAGCAAAATTAAGCTAGTTTCTGTTTGTTTCCACTCCCTTTCCCTTCCCCTGCCCCGTTAACTGGCTTTTGTTTAATGTATGTTGAAAGGATAGTGAAGTAAGACTTACTGAGAACAAGTGGCAAAGTATTGGGTTGTTTTCATGTTCTCAATTTTCCAAGCAGGAGCATAGTTTTAGGACTAGTGGACCATGGGAAACATAAAGACTCCCTTGGATATGTACTACTGTGCCTATTTTGTTAGCTGCAAAATGTAGCTTTCCTAAACACTTCCATTTAGAAGTTTAAGTTAAATTATGTGCATTTTCTTCCTGATACCTACCTTCAACATTGGAGTAACTTTGGTTGTTAGGAACCTTCTACTAGCATATGATATGATACCGAACTCTTGCTTTCCTCCATCCTATGTAGGTATGCAGGCATCTACACAAGTAAGGAAACCTCTTTATTCATATTTTGAAGACTATTTTCTGTAAATAATGTTCAAGAAGTGTGGCAGATGGTCTGCCTTCGCCATGGTATTGATTTATGTAGTCCCCATGTAAGTTCCAGAATGTCTAATACAGATCCTTCAGATGAATTGAGCAGTCTACATGAGGATGTCATCACTTTTGCTAAAATACAGGCAGTTTCTTTCCTGTTCTGCTTACTGGTACTCTCTAGTTCATGTAGTCAAGTTACTTTCTTTCTTACTTCTCAAGAAGAATAATCTTTACATCTTCTGTCATGTTATACAAATCTTAACATAATTGTATATTCTGTTCTGTAAATTATTTCAGTAACTTATTCGTATCTTCATCTTTTTCATTTCCACTCATACAGTTTCTTCATATTCACAGTAAGTCTGTCTTTTGATTTCAGGTAGTCCAAATGCTTAAATGGGGAGACATGCTCTTCCCATTCTCCATACTCTGTTCGACTCATTTATAACTCAGAAAACATCAATGCAGGGATAGAGACCGTTCTACAGTGTAACTTGATGCAAACTATTATCACAACTGTATGAATAATGTCAAAATCATTGTGCTGCACTCGTATGAAATATGTTGTCATCACCTCTGTTTCAGAACTTATGTAGAGTAATATTTTCTATTTCTTTTGCTCCATAAACATTATTTAAGCCACTGGCTGGGAATGTTTCTGTTGTTTCAGTAAGAATTTACAGGATTAGTATGTTAAATACATTGATCTTTCTAAGCAAACCAGTCACTGATTGGATCCAGCTGTGACTGAATTGACTTGTGATACTTGAGTAATACATTTCTTATTATTCTTTTTTACTTCAGTACAAGACTATGGTCTCACTGTAGTAAGTCCTCTGCAAATATACATATTCACTATTCTTTATTTGCAGGCTTTGTTTGAGGGGAAAATGCAGGAAGGAGGGTATAAAAAGCAAAAGAAGGAAATAGGAAAGCAGAACAGCAAGGAAAGGCAGTAAAGATACTTAGCTAATGGCTATATACAAATGATGCTGATGGTTGCTTTTAAATCCTGAATTGGCTACCATCCTTTATTTAGTCAGTGCGGCTTTTTTTGCTTAATTTGTTAACACCTATAGAAGTTAGAGCAGTAGTTATGACAAATGGACTATGTAATTTGAAAATTGTATTTTGTCACATATTTTAGTCACAAAACCTAGTTGAAATCAATTGTCCAAAGATTCACTTAACATATTAATAAGTAATACAGGAATACTCTAAGCCCTCTTGAATTAGATATATTACATCTTGTTACAAAATTTAATGCCAGGCTTAATAACTCAAAGTATGCTCTAGAATAAAAATACATTTATATGCTGTTATATTGCAACTAGGATGCTAATCCAAATTAAAAAAAAACAAACCCACTATTTATTTGGAACTGTTTAATATACTCACATGTAGACAATTGTATTTAATTTAATTTCTTAAAAAGAAATCCCTAAATTTATTCCTTCAAAGTGAGTATGTTTTCCATAGTTTATTTCTGAATGCGATTTAATTTGTTTTGACAACAGTGGTCAGATTACAGGAGCTATTCAGGTACTTACCTGCAAAACCAGTGTCTTCTAGGGCTTTTTTTTAAAAATGTATCTAGATGGTTGTGTTCTTAAGTTTTCTGATGGAAACACTGTAGAAACAGAGTAAGTACCAGCTTTTCAAAAAGGCAAGATGCTTCTTCCAATTCAACACTACTAGCTTTGCATAGTTTTAATAGGAAAAATTATTTTAAAATAAGCGTATCCCATCATTATGTGAACAGAGTTTAACTCACAGTAGTTGAAAAATTCTGCATAAACATGTTTTGAAGAGAGATTTTTTAAAAAAAGATTTTTTTTCTTGATTTACAAGTGCATTTTTGAACAGTTAAAAGGGAGTTAAAAGATTGATGGCTGATCAGTTGCTGGAATTTGATTTGTTAAATTTTTCTTAGAACCATAGCCTTGAACATTTTTAATGTGTTTATAACCAGCAGTAGTGTGCTATTGAACCCTGTATAAATTTTTTTTGTCTTATTAATAATGAATTAACCACTTTCTAGAAGATACTTCTAACAATATCAAGTTACTGAGATTTGTAAAATACATGTTTTTAAGAAGCTCAGTCACAAGAAAGGAATTGAAAATAATGCTGAGAAATAGCCAAGACTTGCAAGTTGATATAAATTTCAGCTTTAATACTGAAGAAGTCTTTATAATGCTCAAGTAGTTAAGAGTTGTCTCTCTATCACTATTGTCACCTTAAAAATAAATTGAACCACATGGACTTACCTTACATGTTGTTTCTATCTCTCCTGTTACATGATTATGTGAAATACTTATTTGACTTGAAAAAAAATACTAGTTTTGGTCACTTGACTTTTTGTTATATGGAAATTTCCAGAAGAAATCCAATGCCTTAGGTCACTTGAATCCCTTTAGGTCAAATTAAAAAATAAAAATGTTTTTAGCATTTTTTTTTCATCACGCATCTTTATTTTCCATCCAAAGGTCAATTCCAGAAGTCTGGTACCGGGACTGCTACTCCAGCTTCCTTGTTGCTGCTTGTGTCTGGGCCTTATCCCAATGCTACTTGACTGTTGAATGTGCAGAGAATATCATTCTAAGGACAACTGTCTCCTTTGTGTTTGAGCACCTGCCACTATGTGAGTTATTTTTTCTATGTTTTTTTCTAAAAGACAAACTGAATTTGCCTCATTTTCATTAATGTCATAGTTATACATTTAGCATATATAAAAATGGTGTTTGTTATGTCTTTCCTGTAGTTGTCCAAAACTCATTTTAAATACCCTTTCTGTAACAAAAAAATAAAATAAAATAAAATCTTATTTTACAAACATAGATGCTTTTCTCCCCACTTTACTATGTTAAATTTTGAAAGACAAGTGAAAAATATTAACTGTAGTATTTGTTTTTAAAAGTGACGAATGACTGTATTAAAGTCTGCTTTCCACAGAACTGGTGAAACATAGTGTCAGTGGGAGCTTTTCTTTGCTTTCTCCCATAATATGCCCTAAGTCCCGACCTGGAGGGCCAATTCATTGTCTTAATTCAAACCTCTCCTTACATTAACAACATGGCAGTGTTTAGTAACGATACAGTGTTTGCTGTTAAAGACTTGCCAATTTTGCCTTAAATAGCTAGATTATATTACCTCAATTTGTCATATTCCCTCTGTTTAGCTTGGAATTACCTTGCAAATGTTAAGGTGATACTATTGAATTATATAAAGGAATTTAAAAGTTGAAATCCTCGCAACGTAGATTTAAAGTACTAGTGATTAAAGGTCAGGAAACTTATTTTAATAGGAACAATTTTTTTATTTTACTGACTTCCATCAGTGACTTTAGTTATTTTTCCTTCATACTGCTCTGGATAATTTAAAACCCTTTCTGAAGTGATTTTTTTAAGACATGTATGTGCTTATGGTTTTGTATGTATAGTTTTTGTACCTTTTAAGTGTAGTTAGTTTTTTCCAGTGTTGCAATAAAGTACAGAACACTATGCAGTACATTAAAGAAATAGAGCCTATGCATCAGAACAATTTTCATGCTTCACTCAATTCTTAATGTAAATTAGTAGGAACATTGGTTATCCATTTGAGAAATTGAGTTGGTATAAAAATAAAAATGCACTTATGGTATGTGGTGCTTTGTGTATCATCTTGGGAGTGTTTTGCTGTTTATCTGTCACTTGCATTAGAAAAAGCAGTCACTGGCTGCAGGTGACATTAAAAATTAAAGGTTAACCTCAATTTCTTTACTGACCAGACGTGGGGCAGAAAGTTCTTCTGGATGTGTGCCTGAATTTTGGAACTGTCAAAAAGAGTTGAAATGTAAAGACTTGTGCTTTTGGTGGCTTTTGTGTGTGCATGTGTAGTTATACAGTTTCACTATTTTCAAGTGTTTAGACTGCTTATTATAGGTTATATAAAAATCATTTGTCATTGCATCCAACTTTGTGAAATTAAAAAATGACATGATAACGCTATAGTAAATAATTATAATGAACTCATTGTACTGATCTACATAATTTTGGGAATGTCTTTTTATTTTGTTACTTAGAAAAACTAATAAAAATAGCTTTTTCCCTATTACTAGAGAATTTGTGTCTTTCAAAAAGTAGTTAAAATTGTTGTTGAAAATTGCTATAGCAGCTTTTGAATATTCTGGTTAGCTCAATGTACACTTAATATAAGACAAGATTTACATACTTATGAACAAGCCCGAGAGATCTTTCTTTAAGTATTTATTAAGGCTTTTGACAAAGTTGGTTTCTACCCCATGGTGAGTTCAGAGTGAGCCAAATTCGGTAGCGTAATGCTTCCCTCCTCTCTCACTCAAAGTGTTGGAGGCAGCATTCAGACCAGTGAAGAAGACTAGCTTCAGGCAACAGGGGTTCCACATAACCGGCCAGATACCTTTCATTTGCAAAGTAGGAATTATGCTTCTTCAGTGGTAGACCATGCTATGGGCAAGTCTTGATACTTGAGATGCAAACTCAAAGCTGTGGCTGCTGCTCTTTGCCTTCCATTTCATCTCTGGATTTTACTTACCCATGCAATAATGTAGTATGCATTAAATCATTAGATCAATAGATCTGTTGCTTCTTGTTGACTGCTGGGTGAAAATGAGAAGGGAAGAAAGAAAAATGAAATTGCCTGCTCTGTCTTCATGATTAAAATAGACTGCCAAAATACACGTGTTTTCTTTCCCTATCCCTCATTTGCTGAACAGTGAATCTCTTCTGTCCTTGGCCGTTTTGCCTCTTACAGCTCTTCTTAGAAAAACAAGAAAATAGAAATTTCATTAAGGAAAGCAATCAGTATTGCTTTAGAAAAGAACATTGCAATTGATGTTTTTTAGGAGCCCTAGTATTTCAGACACATGTACAATTGTTTTAAAATTATGTATCCATGTGCTTGCTTCATAGTAAGCTTGACACAGTTGTTTCAGGACTGGTATGCTTTAAATTTTTCAGACTTTGAATTAAATCGTGTTAAGAATCCTTTGACTGGAAAGTGATAATGTGCATTTCATGTGTTTTACTTATTATTCCTAATTTGTTAAGCCTATATTTAAGACCAATAATTTCTTTGAAGACAAAGTATTTTTAAATGCCAGTTATTTATTTTCCTGTATTTCGCCTTGTTTGAAATTATTCCAATCTTCTCCAAGATTGGAGTTTTACTTAACACTTCCCAATTTCTTGTGTTACAGATTTTTTTATGTTGACATAATAATGAAACTGGTCAAACAAGTTTCACTATTGAAATAATTCATAAGGAAACCAAAGTACTGTATAACTTTATACATAGTTCCTTTGACTTAAGGAGTAATTAAATCCCATAAAATAGTTGATACTTGTTGGCTTCTAGCCTGGCTCTAAAGTCTCCATTTTATAAACTGGGTTATGAAACATCAGGAAACATGAACTGTATTTTTCAGAGGAAATATCTCAGATAATTAAATACTGCAGAAAGTGGTTATAATTTGAAATGCAGTACTTTCTAAAAAGAAATCTTTAAGTGATTTTATGTATTTTCTTACAGGCTCTAGAATAGCAGCATTTTATGATTTGTCAGTTACTTCCTTTAAGTTCAAATAAACTTCACTATCAGTCTAAAAAGCACTATCTGGTGACTTGCAATCATGTTACAGATGGCATCTTTTCTTAAACACTACAATAATCTGTGGTTTGTGTAGCAACTAAATTACCCATTTGTTACACTGTTACACAGCTCATAGAGGTCATCACACATCTGTATGAGCAGAACATTTTAAGTCTTAAAAAAATAAAAAACCCAACACACATTCATTGCAATGTTTCTGTTATTGCTGTTCCTAAAGTGTGGGTGGTCCATGCACTTATGTTTAATTTATGGCTGTATTGCAGAGATCGGCTATAGAGATAGATATCCATGAGCTAAGGACTTTTTTCTCAGATGTACCAAAACTTGCAGGACATGCAGCTTCAAAGGGTGGAAGAACAGGTCCCTGATTGGGAGTTATTTTGCAAAGCACTAAAATGAAATTATATCAATTCCCCACAAGGGTACATAATGTCACCTCAGGACTAGTAATTCCCAGAGCTTTATTTTAGGTAACTGTTAGATCCTCCGGGTGAGGAGTAGCACTACTGTGTGTTACTAGCCCATTCTTTTCAGACATCCTTTCTTCTCTCTAGGTATCGTGTCAGGATTTATCCACTTTATGTAGCTGGTCCCCACTTGACAAAATTGGTACTGCTTCACATCCTTGTTCGTTCAAGTGGCCTCTGGCAGTGATCCTTGTCCGCTGCATCTCCCTTGCCCCTGTCCCCTGCCAGGCTGCCCCATTTGCCTCCTGAGCCACATTTGGGGCACTGTGGCTCTGAAGGCTGAGCTGGCCTTGGACAGAGCCCAGCCAGGTCTGGTAGAGCTTTTTTCATTGTACTTGGTGCTTGCTTTATAGTTTGTTTTCATTTTAACCAGGAAACCAGCCTCGCTGGTTGGAAATCCCAGTACTCAGGAAGACCTTACTGCTGCCTTTCAATACTTAAAGGGGGCTTATAAGAAAGTCGGAGACGCTTTTTACCAGGACCTGTAGGGATTTAGGCCTTTAGTTTTAAACTAGAAGAAGGTGCATTTAGATGAGATATAAGGAAGAAATTCGTTACAGTAAGGGTGGTGAGACACTGGAACAGGTTGCCCAGAGAGGCTGTGGCTGCCCCATCCCTGGAAGTGGTCAAGGCCAGGCTGGATGCGGCTTTGAGCAACCTGGGCTAGTGGAAGGTGTCCCTGCCCATGGCAGGGGGGTTGGAACTAGGTGATCTTTGGACGTCCTTTTCAACCCAAACCAGTCTATGATTCTACTTGAGGACAGTAACTTCTTGCCTTTGTTGTCACCTGCTTACTATTATGTATGTTTCTTACATAGTTTTCATTATATGCCAGCTCTTCTGCATTTTGTTGACCTTCGAACTTTTTCAGAAGCATCGCACTGGTAACAAGTGGTATTACTTGAACCTGGTCAGAAGACTTTTATGTGTGGGGTTTTTTTTCAGTAAGAAACAACTGCTAACTTAGATGATCCTAAATGCTAATCAGAATTTGTTAAATCAGAATTTGTTAAATCAGAATTTGTTAAAGTTGTTCTTAAAGGATTAAAAGTGGCAGCCTTAAGTGTTTCTGAACGAATAAAACCATGGAAGGGAGAAACAGTTAGGTTGTCAATGGTATATTTTTAAAAACAAGATTGTAATGATATTTTGGTGCATTTCAAGTGACCCTCTTACCATAGATGTGACCATCACAGACAGTTGTCTCTGGTGTGTTCAGAGCTGTGATAATGTTCCAGTAAAGTTTTAAGGAAAAAAAAATTTCTAAAAAATTGTCTGCAACTTCCCTTGAAGGGGAAGGGATGCTATTTCATGGCTATCCTTGGCTCTCTTTTGTTTGCCTCTCCTCCACCCCAAGAAATACTGTGGGACTTAGAGAATGCTTTGTTTCTAGGACAAAGTCTTAAGGAAGTTCACAGATTTTTAGTGCTTTTTACTCTTAAGTTATACTGATTTGAATGTCTGAACAAAACACTGGATGATACTGACAGGTAGCAATGTAGATGCCAACCGTGTGCAGTTGCAGTCCAGTATTAGGGACTGTATC